GAAGGGGAGGGTTGTGGGTGGGAGGGACGGTATGGGGGGGAAGCCATTGTAATCCATAAGTCGTACTTTGGAAATTTATATTCATTAAATAAAAGTTAAAAAAAAGACACTACTTAGGACACCTGCATTCTACATGCAAGTTCCTGGGTTCAAGTCCTGGCTCCATTTCCAATGTCAGATTCCAGCTAATGTGCACCCTAGAAGGCAGTGGTGATTGACTCATGTAAATGGGTCCTTGCCACCCACCTGAAGAATGGGATTGAGTTCCTGGCTCCCAGCTTCAGCTTGGCCCAGCCCTGGCTTTTGTTGATATCTGGAGAGTGAACCAGCAGATAGAATATCTGTCTTTATCTTTCATTCTTTCTTTTTAAGTTTTATTTAATTTATCATTTCATATATACAGATTTAGGAACATAGTGACACTTCCCCCCTACCCTCTGCCACGCCCATGCTCCAACCCTTCCTTCTCCTCCCTTTCCATTTCCCACTCTTAATTTTTACAAAGGTCTATTTTCGGTTTACTTAATGATCATATAGTTAATCCCACAATAAGTAAAAGAGTTCAACAAATAATATAAAGAGAGAAAAAAAAAAAAAAACACTGTTCCTCAATGGAAGAAACAAGGGCTGTAAACACTCGTCAAATCCCAAAATGTCAATTTCACTCCAATACATTACATTTAAGGTAAACTATTAGTTACCTCAGATCAGGGAAAACATGATACCTGTCTTTTTGGGACTGGCTATTTCACAAAGTATAATGGTTTACAGTTGTGTTCATCTTGTTGCAAAAGAAAGGATTTCATTTTTTTGTTGTTGTTTTTACAGCTGAGTAGTATTTTTTTTTTTGGACAGGCAGAGTTAGAGAGAGAGAGAGAGAGAGAGAGAGGGAAAGGTCTTCCTTTCCATTGGTTCACCCCCCAAATGGCTGCTACAGCCAGCATGCTGCACCAATCCGAAGCCAGGAACCAGGCACTCTCCTGGTCTCCCATACGGGTGCAGGGCTCAAGCACTTGGGCCATCTTCCACTGCCTTCCTGGGCCACAGCAGAGAGCTGGACTGGAAGAGGAGCAACCGGGACAGAATCTGGCACCCCAACTGGGACTAGAACCCAGGGTGCCGGTGCTGCAGGTGGAGGATTAGCCAAGTGAACCATGGTGCCAGCCACAGCCGAGTAGTATTCTACAATGTATATATAATTTCTTTATCCAGTCAACAATCGATGGACATCTGGGTTGATTCCATATCTTATCTATTGTGAACTGTGCTACAATGAACATGAGGGTACAGATAACTCTTTAACATACTGATTTCTTTTGGTTTGGGTAAATTTCAGAGAGTGGGATGATTGGATCATATGGTAGATCTATATTCAGATTTCTGAGGTATCTCCATACTATCTTCCATAATGACTATACCAGTTTTTATTCCCACCAAGAGTTGATTAGGGTACCTTTTTCCCCACATCCTTGCCAGTATTTGCCATTTGTTGATTTTTATATGAGAACCATTCTAAATGGGGTGAGGTGAAATTGCACCCTGATTTTAATTTGAATTTCCCTGATGGCTGGTGATCTTGATATTTTCACAAGTGTCTGTTGGCCATTTGAATTTCTTCTCATGAAAAATGCCTGTTCAAGTTCTTTGCCCATTTCTTAACTGGATTGTTTGTTTTGTTGTTGTTGAATTTCTTGAGCTCTTTATAGATTCTGGATGTTAACCCTTTGTCAGTTGTGTACTTTGCAAATATTTTCTTCCATTCTGTTGGTTGCTTCTTCACTTTGCTTAGTGTTTCTCTTTCAGTGCAGAAGCTTCTCAGCTTAATGGAATCCCATTTGTCAATTTCGGCTTTGATTGCTTGTGCTTCTGGGATCTTTTCCAAGAAGTCTTTGCCTATACCAATGTCTTTCAGAGTTTTCCCAATGTTTTCTAATTGATGTTATCAGATCATAGATTTAGGATTTTGATCCATTTTGAGTGGATTTTTGTGTAAGGTATAAGGTAAGGGTCTAAGCCGGCGCCGCGGCTCACTAGGCTAATCCTCCGCCTAGCGGCGCCGGCACACCGGGTTCTAGTCCCGGTCGGGGTGCCGGATTCTGTCCCGGTTGCCCCTCTTCCAGGCCAGCCCTCTGCTGTGGCCAGGGAGTGCAGTGGAGGATGGCCCAGGTGCTTGGGCCCTGCACCCCATGGGAGACCAGGAAAAGCACCTGGCTCCTGGCTCCTGCCATCGGATCAGCGCGGTGCGCCGGCCGCAGCGCGCCGGCCGCGGCGGCCACTGGAGGGTGAACCAACGGCAAAGGAAGACCTTTCTCTCTGTCTCTCTCTCTCACTGTCCACTCTGTCTGTCAAAAAAAAAAAAAAAAAAAGGTAAGGGTCTAGTTTTATACTTCTGTATGTGGAGATCTGGTTCCCCCATCCCCACTAGTTAAAGATACTGTCCTTGCTCCAAGAATTGACTGATTCATTTTAGCTGCTTTGTCAAAGATAAGTTTGTTGTTGATGCATGGATTGAATTCTGGAGTTCTATTCTGTTCAATTGGTCTACAAGTCTGCTTTTTCTGTCAGTACTAGGTCATTTTGATTATAACTTCCCTGTAGTATGCCTTGAAATCTCATATTGCGTTACTTCTGGCTTTCTTTTTGTTGTACAAGATTGCTTTAGCTATTCATGGTCTCTTAAGTTTCCATATGAATTTCAGCACCATTTTTTCTATACCTGGGAAAAATGTCCTTGTTATTTTGATTGGTATCACACTGAATCTATAAATTCTTTTTAGTAGTATGGACATTTTGATGATGATTCTTCCAATTCATGAACATGGAAGATTCTTCCATTTTTAATGTCTTCTTCTATTTTTTTCTTTAATGTTTTGTAATCCTCAACATAGAGATCTTTGACAACATCCTTGGTTATATTTAAGTATTTAATTCTTTTTGGATCTATTATGAATGGGACTGATCTTATAAGCCCTTTATTTAGCCAAGGTATTGTCTGTGTATACAAAGTATACTGATTTTTCCATATTGATTTTATATCATGCCACTTTTTTTTTGACAGGCAGAGTGGACAGTGAGAGAGAGAGAGACAGAGAGAAAGGTCTTCCTTTGCTGTTGGTTCACCCTCCAATGGCCGCCGCAGCCAGCGCGCTGCGGCCATCGAGCTGCGGCCAGCGCACCGCGCTGATCCGATGGCAGGAGCCAGGTGCTTGTCCTGGTCTCCCATGGGGTGCAGGGCCCAAGGACTTGGGCCATCCTCCACTGCACTCCCTGGACACCGTAGAGAGCTGGCCTGGAAGAGGGGCAACCGGGACAGAATCCAGCGCCCCGACCGGGACTAAACCCGGTGCGCTGGCGCTGCAAGGCAGAGGATTAGCCTAGTGAGCTGCGGTGCCGGCTTATCCTGCCACTTTTACATGTTGTTCAGTCTTCATGTGTTTGCATATGATCTTGAGAATCTTGAGTTGCTGATTTCAGCTTCATTTCATTGTGGTCAGAGAAGGTGCATTTTTTTAAATTTGCTGAAACTAGCTTTATGGCCTCACAAATGATCTATGCTAGAGAAAGTTCCATGCATTGATAAGAAAAATGTATATTATATAACTGTGGGGTAAAAAGTTCTGTAGATATGTTAGGTCCATTTGGTTCATAGTGTATATTAGCTCTGTTGTTTCTTTGTTGATTTTCTGTCTAGTTGACCTGTCCATTGCTGAAAGTAGGTTGTTGACATCTCCCGTTACTATTGGATTGGAGTCTATGTCTCTCTTCAGATCCATTAACATTTCTTTTAAATAGCCATGCACCCTGTAATTGAGTGCATAAACATTTACTATACTCATGTCTTCCTGTTGAATTGATCCCTTAAATCATTACATAGTGCCCTTATTTATCTCTTTTAACAGTTTTTGTGTTAAAATCTATTTTTGTCTGATATTAGGATGGATATACCAGCTCTTTTTTGGTTTCTGTTAGCATGGACTATCTTTTTTCCATCCTTTCACTTTTAGTCTTCATGTATCTTTGTTGGTGAGATGTGTTTCTTGTAAGCAGCAAATAGATGGGTGTTATTTTTTAATGCATTCAGCCAGTCTGTATCTTCTAACTGGAGAATTGAGGCCCTTTACATTCAAGGTGACTTGATAAATAACTACTTGGCTCTGCCATTTTCCCATAAATATTCCTATTGTTTACTTTGGATTCCTTTTGTATTTTACTGGGGAATTTTCTGTCTTCACATTCTTACCTATTGATGGGCATCATTCTGTGTTTCTCTGTAGCACATCCTTAACCTTCTTTTGTAAGGCTGTCGGACGAGTGGTGACAAATTCTTTCCATTTCTGTTTGTTATGGAAGGTCTTTATTTCATCTTCATTCATAAATAAGAACTTTGCAATGTACAGTATTCTTGGTTCACAGTTTTTTTTCTTTTAAGACTTGGGTGGGGGCTGGTGATGTGGCGTAGCAGGTAAAAGCCACCACCTGCAGTGCTGGCAACCCATATGGGCACCGGTTCGAGTCCCAGCTGCTCCACTTCTGATCCAGCTCTCTGCTATGGCCTAGGAAAGCAGTAGAAAAGTCCTCTGGGCCCCTGCACCCGCGTGGGAGACCTGAAAAGATCCTGGCTCCTGGCTGCAGATCGGCACAGCTCTGGCCATTGCAGCCCATTGGGGAGTGAACCAGTGGATGGAAGACCTCTCTCTCTCCCTCTCTCTCTCTCCCCCCTATTTTCCTCTCTCTCTTTCCCTTCTTCTCTCTCTCTCTCTCTCTTGCTGCCTCTCCTTATCTGTGTGTAACTCTTTCAAATAAACAAATAAATCTTTAAAAAAAATACTTGGACTAAATCTCAGCATTCCCTTCCAGACTGTTGGGTTTTTGATGAGAAGTCAGCTGTGAATCTAACTGGACATCTTCTGAAAGTAATCTGTTATTTTGAAATCTCATGCACATTTTAGAGTCTTTTCTTTATGTTTTAATGTCAAAAGTTTGACTACAATGTGTCATGGTGAAGGTCTTTCCTGACTATGTCTGTTACTTCTATGTGCCTGCTGTACTTGGACAGTCCTTTCTTTCTCCAAAATGGGGAAGATGTCCATTATTATTATTTCATTAAACAGGCTTCTAGTCCATTCTATCTTTCTGCAACTTCAGGAACTCCTAAGATTTGTATGTTGGGTTGTTTGATAATACCCCATACTCCAATACTGTTTTTAAGTTTTCTATTTTTTTCTTTTTCTTTCTTTCTTTTTTTTTTTTTTTTTGGTCTGATTGTAGGATTTCCAAATATTTGTCTTCTAGTTCAGATATTCTTTTTTCTGC